ATCTTCCTTCTTCTTTTAGTTCAATTAAGACTTTTAGTCTCTTTAGAACTAATTTATCTTCCTTTGGAAACTTGTGAAAGTTATTAATATTGGCTCCGATTAAATTGCTTATTATTTATTTGTATATCAAATAGTTTGTACTTTTGATTACATTTTTTTGTTGGCTTAGCCTGTGGGAAGGGTTTCAAGTGTAGTGCTGCTTGTTTGTTTTGTTTAGCTGTATGTTTGTTATGACATGATGTAATCTGTTTGATTTTGTGTACTTCTTAGGAACCCCTCAAAAATGAGATGGTTCATCTCAAGGGGCTATCGCATTTAATAAATTCAAACATTCATTTGAAAAATTATTTGCTGGCAGATGGGCAACCCTAGTGGTTTGACTGACAGCATGGAAGTAAAACGAATTATGATCACAATACATTGTATTTAGTGTTGTTTAAAATGGCTTTTTTTATTTTTATTTTTTACATTTTTTAATATACTTTTATACACTACCGGTTAAAAGTTTAGGGTCAGTGCGATTTTTTTTTTTTATTTATTTTTTTTTTTTATGTTTTTAAAATAAGCCTATTCTGCTCACCAAGACTGCATTTATTTAATCAAAAATACTGTACAAATTGTAAAATTGTGAAATTTAATTGCACTGTAAAATCACTTAAAATTATTCCAGTGATTTTAAAAGTTAAATTTTTTGTTTCATTACTCCAGTCATTGGAGTCACATGATCTCTCAGAAATCACTCTAATATTCGTTATTATTATTATTAATAATAATAATGGGGATAGTAATAAAAGCAATAATGACTGGAGTAATCATTTAATTTGAAACTACATACAATAAGTAATAAATTAATATTTAATAAACAAGTATTTAACAATTTTTTTTTACATTTTAATAAATGCCGTCTTGATGAACAAAATTATTTTCTTAAAAAAAAAAAACATGAAAAAAAACTGACCTCAAACTTTTGACCGGTAGTGTATATACAGTAGTCAACATTTGAACTGAATCAAAAATGTTTGTTAAAAATGGCTGCTGTACAACAGGTTTAAGACAACTTTGATGAAAAGATTTGATCCACTTCAAATTGGTCCAAATGTTGACAACTGTATATAAGTATACCTGACAAAGTTTTGTGAACTATTATCACACTAATTAAAATTTAAGTGATTTAGTTGTGTTAAAAAATGTATTGTAATTGTTCTTTTTTATTTTCATAACAGGGCATATACCAATGTGCTGGTGAAAAACAGAAGCTGTATTGACTTAATTTCTTTGACGCTTGATTCTCTTTGATTGATGTAACACGTAAAAGCTGTGGAAAAAAAGGATCACTAACTGTACAAACAATTTCTCTTATAACAAAGCAAGTGCTACCCAATGAACTTGCGATTCTTCTGGATGCTTCTTATTCGGAAACAATAACTTCCGACTGGCCACCTTAGTGGCTCCGACCTCCCCGTCCCCCATTCTTTCTAGTGAGCTTCCTGTCTTGTGGCGCGCCACTAGACCTCAAACAAGGAGTCTGATCTGGCTCGCTTCCTATTCAGACACTGGATGTATTGTCATTCTCTATTTACTATGCAGATCTCCCTCTTATTCTCACTCTCTTGACTCTGCATTTGTCAACTTCTGCCCGTCTTTGTTTACTAGTATAAAGAGGAGGGGTGTCCTTGGGTCTTCCCACACATAACCCCCTCTCTCTCTCTTTTTTTAACCATTCCAGTTTCAATGACAGGGTCCAAGCCTCGGAGTCACTATGCCGAGACTCTCCGTCCCTCGCCCCCTCCCCAGCCATGACACATGTTCCACAGCACGTACCTTGTCTCTCCAGCCTCTCAGTTTGGCTCAGGCAGAGCAAACACAGTAGTTTGATCAAACAAGACGACAAATGATTTTGAGCTATGACAACAAACACACTGTCTGTCTGCAGTGCACAACTCGTGCTGTCTGTATGTGTGCGCAAACACCTTATTATTGTCATGTTTACTAAAACAGAGGAAATAATACACAGCGATATCCAAATTGTTTTTAGAGCTTCGTGAACTCCAGAGCTGTGACAAAAAGCCAACTTGGAGACACCGAATATGATGTTTATCGAATGGATAGAATAATACACAGCGGAAGCCATACTGCTATTATAGTTGTATGAAATGCAAACAGGTCAGAAGGTAATGTCAGCAGAGTGCCTTGGAGGAGTTGTATTTAATAAACAAACAAAAGTATTCTAATATTTGCACAAGCATTTATACAAATAGAGCCAATTTATATTGATTATGCGTAGAATCGAGAGAGGTTGGGACATGATTACTTAGAATATATATGTACAACTGTTGACCAAACAACCTCTATCCTCTTTCCTGGCATCCTGGTAAACTGATCTAAGCATGCGAGATGCAAGTTAACTACAAACGTCAACTTCGTACAAGATATTAAAAAGGGAACTTCAAGTTGACTTAACTGAAACCGACGTCAATTAGGTTTTAATTAATTTGGCATAAAACAGCCACATGAGTAACCTTTGAACTGTAGACAAAATCCATAGGGAATCTGAATGCCCTGTAGAGATCTTTAGATACATTTTATTGATCCCTGAGGGTAAATTCGGAGGCTTTGAACTCTGTACACTCTTTGTCTTCTTAGTGACCCAGAATGCTTTCCTGAGTTGGCTCACGTTACTTTCCTGGATAGCCCTTTTTATTTGCTGTTTAAACATGGTTAATTTAGACTGATATAAAGTAGTTTTGATACCTTATAGAGACAGTTCACCCAAAAATTTGAAATTGATTATTGATTCAGTATTTGCTCCGAAGTGATTAAAAAAACTTTATAAGTTTTTTTTTCTTCTGCTAAACACAAAATAAGATATTTTGAAGAATGTTGGAAATCGATAACTTTTGATTCCATCGCCGGAAAAATAAATACTATGCAATTCTATGGCTATAAGTAGGGCCCAGACGGAATTTGTGTGCGCACAAATCTGCAGATTTTCACAGATTTTTAGCTCATCATTGAGTCTATGTATTTACTTGTGTAAATGTGTGTAAGTAAAAAGTCCAGAATGTCTAAATGCATTCAAATAAACATTCAGAAAAGGATAAAATGATGGTTCAGCCTAAAATTCAAGACTCAAAACCCACTTATTTAAGATGGCTTTTAATACTTAATTTTATTTGCACTATTGCTGTGTATATTTTATTATTTCTCTTGTTGTTTTATTGCTCTTGTTGACTGTACGGTGTCCTTGAGTTGCTAGAAAGGCGCCTTTAAATAAAATGTATTATTATTATTATTATTAAAATTAAACCATTCTCAGCCTCAAGTGGTCCCAAACCTATATGAGTTCCTTTATTTTGTTGAACACAAAGATATTATGAAGAAATTTGGAACTGGTAACCACTGACTTCCATAGTAGAAAACAAACTCCAAAAACTATGGAAGTCAGTTGTGTATCATTATTTTATATGCAATCAAAAGAAAAAATCTCAATCAGGTTTGTGACAAGTGATGGATCAGTAAATGACAACAGAATTTTCAGGGTTTTTTTACTTGCATTTTACTTGTTACAAAAAAGTCTATTTCAAAAAATGTTGGAAAACCATTATACCTAGGGCCAGATAAACATTTTTTGCTATTTCTGCGAAGAATTTGTAAAAAGTCTGCGGATTGATGATGATTTTAGGAGTATCATAACTACAAACTTATTATATGAAACAAAAAACAATGCCTTTTTACTTTTATTTCATGTTTAAAAAGCAAATCCAATTCGATCCACTTATTTGGTAAATAAAGCAGGTCTATGTTTATTCAGATTTTAAATTAATTTTACTAATGTTATTGTGATATAATAAGTCATATTAAAATCTTTATATGATTTATTTACAAAACAGATTATAAAGTAATATTTTCTGTCTTTTAGTAGAGATATTATATGAGAGACTTGCTTTGTTTACCAAATAAGTGGATCTAATAGGATTTGCATTGTAAAAATTAAATAAGTCAAAAATGTATTTTTTATTTCATATATTAAGTTTGTAGTTATGATGCTCATCATAATCCGCAGATTTATTTGCAAATTCTCTGCAGAAATAGCAAAAATTATCTGCAGATTCTGTCTGGCCTATAAATTTCCAACAGATTTTGAAATATCTTTTTTTGTGACAAACCTGATTAAGATTTTTTTCTTTTGAATGCATAAGATAATCGTTTAGAAAATGATAAACAACCGACTTCCATGGTATTTAGAGTTTGTTTTTTACTATGGAAGTGGTTACCGGTTAAAACATAAAAAAAGGAAATTCTTAGATGTTTGGGACCACTTGAGGCTGAATGTTTTAATTTTAGGCTGAGCAATCATTGTAACTTTCCCTGAATGGTTTATTAGAATGAATTTAGACATTTTTTGGACTATTTTTAGGATAGTATCCCAGGAGCATCCTGCACAAGTTTCAGTCATAAATTTGTCTGGCTTGAAATGTTTTAAGTTGCTAGGTTACCAGCTCTGTTTCATGTCTTTGTATTGCCACCCCTTATCTGGAAGTATACAGTGGAAAATGCAGTTAAAAGATCATTGTATAAATTACATTGAGAGGAAGCCCTGCTAACCCCTTTTGGTGCATTATTTACTTGTGTAGACTACTTTGAGAAAACAGATTATTATGTGAGTAACAATGAAAGACTAATCCTTTCCAAAACAGGAAGCTGATCTGATAAGTATCACGAGACTGTTATATTTGATTTTTATTTTCAAAGTCATGGATTGAAAATAAATAAATAAGCATTACGGAACCGATGAGTGCTGACAATACCTTAAAAAGCTTCGGTTGCAATTAACGGGCAATAGACGGAGCTATGGACAAAAGGGAGAGGATCCTGTAAGCGCTGGATTCTGAGATGCAGATAATCAGTGAGTTAAATCTTCTTTTTTTGTTTTCTACCTGAGGCTCAAGATTTCACAGCTGCCGCACATCCGTTCTCCAGCTTTAACTGGACTTTAATGAGAGCCTTTTCTGCTTAATCGCGTGGTCGCTTTCGTGGAGAGAGGGGAATTGACATTCATAGAAAGCTTGCCAATGGGGTGATGCAAAGCTCAACGGATCTAATACGTGCCTCGTGGGAAGGGACGGTGTCGTAGTATTTGATCGCGTGTGCCTCTCACTGAGTTCTTGGAAGCAGCGCGTAGGGCTTGATGCGTCTGTGCTCCAGTCCATCCATGTCTTTTGTGCCACAAGTTGAGCTGTTTTTGCGCGCGATTTGTCATTTTTAATCATGTGTTTGAAAAATGCCAAGTTGTTTTGCGAATGTTTCACGGTTCAGGTAAGACTTTTTCATAACCTTTATTGCTACTTTCTAATAATAATACTGTGCATTTGGCAAACACGTGGGGAAATTGTTGGTCTGAATGGGATTTATAGTTAGCAATATATACTATTATAATATTGCTATATATAAATAACTAATATTATTTATATATAGCAAGCAATACGATTTAAGTTAAATTAACGTTTAGTTTTTATACATTTAAGCATTCATACAACAAAAACGATTTACACTTTTACAGGTAACATTATTTTGACATTATGAAAGTGAACGCTTCATGTACGCGACAGTTCTTTAAGTGTGTTGAAGCAACTCATCACTGGAATTATGACAGTTTATGGTTGTTTTAATTGAAGAACGGTAAATCTATTGATCATACAGGAAGTTAGGAAGCATATTTTGATTTCTCAGCAGTACTTGCGATCCATCTGTGTTGGAATTTCCCATGCATGACCTGGCATCTTTTTTAAGCATGAGCTTTACATTACAGTGAGAGCTGACTCAGTGTACAATTGCTGCATCATCAGAAGCTGACAATTGACAAGCACATTCTCTTTTAAAAGTGAGAGTGACTTTGAAGAAAAAGAAAAAAAAAAGCTTAGGCAGATCATGGGATGACCAAAAAGGGCTTTTCCAGTGGTTTTGACTATAAGAAGGATCTTATCACTTTGTACAAGATAATTTGGTCACACTTTATTTTTATGGTCCGTTCATGCCAACTAATTCTCATTAGACTATAAGTAGATTTTTAGGTTGGGGTTAGGGTTATTGTATGTTGACATGATCTTATAGGTAGTTAAATGACTAGAAGGAGCAGTATCAACAAATATTAAGCAGATAGTCTACTACAACTCCAATGAACCATCAAAATAAAGTGTTATCGATGTTTTTACAGTACATAATCAGTTTGAGCTTTTCTCTGTTATGTTAAAGCTTCTATGAAAACTATCGAAGGCTTGAAAGATGTGGTGGATTTGTGTTTTCACACTTGCTGTATTGTGTCAGATTTATACTTTTGTAGGTCCTTGATTTTACCAGGGGTAAGACTTGCCACCATGACCGCGCTCAATTTGCAAGGCAAAAAATAGACTCTAGTTGATGGCATTTAGCACTGGCCCTTTCCCTGTTACCTCTAGCATTGGCTAAGATCCTAAGCCCTCAAACTCAGACACAGTGTGTGTTGGCTGTTCTCTCTGCTGGAGTGTAAGGCATGGGTTGTCGCTACCCCTTTTCCTGTTGCCTGTTGTCATTTATTCATTCAGTGAGAGAAGGTCAAGTGTATGTGTGTGCAAGGATATAGAGAGTTCGCATGTTCTTTATCAAAAAGCAACCTTATTAAATCAGATTGCTCATTGTAGGAGGCACATTTTTCTTTATTTCATAAAGCTCCTCGTGAATATAATATACTGTACATTCCCAGTTTCTTTGTGTCCAAATATTTGTGGCACATTAAAAAACACACTAATATTATGAACTCCATCATTCAAAAGTTGTAGATTAATAAGAAATTATAGGCATTAAATAAATCAGACTTTTATTATTAGGTGCATTTTTACAAACTTACTTAAGATGGCAGAAAATAAATAAATATGATCTCTGCGATTTAATATTAAGAAACTGTTTATTAACTAGTACTACTAATAATACCGGCGAGGCAGTGGCGCAGTAGGTAGTGCTGTCACCTCACAGCAAGAAGGTCGCTGGTTCGAACCTCGGCTCAGTTGGCGTTTCTGTGTGGAGTTTGCATGTTCTCCCTGCCTTCGCGTGGGTTTCCTCCGGGTGCTCCGGTTTCCCCCACAGTCCAAAGAAATGTGGTACAGGTGAATTGGGTAGGCTAAATAGTCCATAGTGTATGAGTGTGTGTGTGTGTGGATGTTTCCCAGAGATGGGTTGCGGCTGGAAGGGCATCCGCAGCGTAAAAACTTGCTGGATAAGTTGGCGGTTCATTCCGCTGTGCCAACCCCGGATTAATAAAGTGGATGAATGAATACTAATAATACACTGTAAAAAAATGCTGGGTTCCACACAATTCCTACATGATGACCCAACATAAACCGATTAAGTTTCCACATATTTAAATGAATTGAACATAAAACAATTAAGTTGTCCCAAATAAAACTCAAGGATTGTGTTGATTTAGCTCATTTTAAATAAGTAGCATGAACAATCAGAATACTTTATAAATAATAACACAGTTTTAATTGTGTATAATAAATTACTTGTTATTGAGCACTAATTCATCATATTAGTATCCTTTCAGTGGGATCATGTAACTTTTAAGACATGAAATATGATGCTAAACATTACAGGAACCAGTTGCAATTTTAAATGTGCACAATTTGAAAGCAGATGTTTTAGATTGTAAAATTGTGTTTTGTCATATTAAATCATTTTAAAATATTTTAAAGCATTGATTTGTTTGTTATATATTTTTGTCTATTAGATTATTTTTTAAGTATTTTTATTTCTGTTTAGCTTTTTTTTAACCCTATAAATCCCACAAGGGAGTTAGAAACTTATTGATTACATTACATTTTTTTTACTGTAACATGAAATATCGTCTGTTTTAGTGTGGGATGTGCATAGGAGACTTTACATTAAACAATCAATTATCCTACCTGCCTTAAACCTTTTGAACGCTAGTGTAAAGAAAACGTGCTTATGGTGGCACGTGAGGAAAACCATGCATGGTGGCCTCTGAATGTGACCTATAAGTAGAGTCACTTTAACTGAATTAGAGTCGGAGACGGGGTTGCCTAAAAGAAAGCACTGTTTGCAGAGATAACATCTGTATGTTGAGATGCGGGAGGCCTTCATTTAATTCAATTACGTGACCACAAAACCCTCAAACAAAATATAGCTCAAGTTCCTGGAAAAGCTGTCAGGCATTGGCTGATTAAATGGTGGACGTGCATTCTGCTGCATTCAGACAGGCTTTGTGTGTTTCTGTAGCAGTTCCTGGTTTTTTGATAGGTCATGGTGTCAACAGAACCTCTGCTGTTCTAGTGACAAGACACCATTCTCTGCCAAGATCAGCAGTAAAGGGATTTGTCAAGCTAAGGCCAAAAGAGCAACTCCGATCCACAGCCATTCTTCAATTCTGCTCATTATCTCATAACTTGAAATTTTGAGCCATCCTGGAGGGCTTCATAGCGTGTGCTCGAGCTCAGAGCATCTCCAGAGGGGACATCTGCTTTGATCAGAGTCTTACTGCGTCAGAGCCTGCAAAAGCTGAAAGCCGGCATTCAAAAAGGGCCAAAAAGAAAAGAGCGCTATAATATCACATGCTTTAGCTGCACTGGAAATACCTATTCACTTACTAACACTGATCTGCCCAAAAAGTGCACACTAAGCAATGCTATGGAGTGGTCAGCGAAAAAAGCAATAGGAAAAGATTAGAATTAGCATTTGTTGCCACAGCAAATATGTATTTTTTTTTTCATTTCATTTTTTTTTTGCCCTGACTTGGACGTGTAGTTTTGCAAAATCTGACACGCATGTGATGGAGGATTAGAGGCTGCAGACCAGACATACACAAACACTCTTTCTGTGTAATCTGTCTGTTTATTCCAGATAGACCGAGCACCGTGTGGGTGTGTCTCCATGTTGCACGTGGGTTTTCTGTATGACTACATTTGTGTTTCAACCCCAGATTTATTGATTGTGTGTTTATTGGTTATCTTATTCGAAGTCAAAGTTTGTTTGTAGTCACTGATTTTTGTAATTTTTATTTTTATACGATTATATATTTTTTTTGGTTGCCCATTTAAAGATGTTTATTGTAGAGGTAGACTAATAAGACTGGCATTTTATATTACAGTGCTCAGCATAAAGGACTACACTTCATTTCGAAAATGACTATTTTTATCCATTTCTCAGTGAATATAGGTAATATGTTGGTGTATTGGAACAAAACTGATTTATTAATTGAATATATTTATTAAAATAATATTTTAGTCACTTAACATTTTTAGAAATAAAAAAAAAAATACATTTAACTTTATGTGAAATGTTGGGGGCAAATACAAATTACAAAATTGCAACCAAATTTTATAAATTGTTTAGTTTTTCTTGAATTTTGCTCTTTTTATTTTTTTTTAATTTTAATATTTTTCTCTAACATTTAAATTTGTACTAATTTTAGATCATTATCACAAGTTATTTTGTTACATTAGCTCCAGATTTGGCTTTGATACTGACTAATCTAATAAATATGCACACATATAATACTGAAAAACATACAGTGCTCAGCATATATAAGTACACCCCTCACAATCCTTTTAAATTCTGATTTTTTTTATGAATGCATATACATTAGATTAGTCAGTACTGAAACCAAACTTGGGGCTTATCTAACAAATAATTCACGATAATGGTCCAAAAACTAGTAACCCCAAATTTTGTAGGTTGTACTATTTTTTTCAATATTTAGATTCAATTCAATTGTATTATCTTTCGATTTCTAAATATGTTTGGTGATTAAAATATTATTTTATTAAATATATCTCTTTAATAAATCTGTTTTGTTCAAATGCAACAAATACATTGCATATTCACTGAGAAATGGATAAAAATATTAGCTTTCAAAATGGGGTGTACTCATTATGCTGAGCACCGTATTAGAGACTATTATGCAGGTGTGGTTGGAGCTAAACTATGCAGAGCTGTGGCCCTCCAGGAATTGAGTTTGAGAACACTGTTGTAAAGATTCCTATGGAAAATATTCATCTATACCAGAGATTTGTGAGAGGTTTACTCATATGTTAAGCACTGTAGATATAGAAATTCCAGTAGTATCTAGTAATGGATAAACTACAGATGGAGTGTTTCATCCGGCCCATTGATTAGAAAAGTACAAAATCTCTTAATGTATTTGACTTATAAAGGTAGCAGTGCTCCACCTTGTGGTAAAGCAGTTAATATGCATTAATTTGCATAAATACGCCAATTTAAAAACTTTCAAATTAATGTATTTCCCGCTGGAAACAATAGTGCAGTCATTTAAAGAGATGTATTAGCTATTACAAACTTTTGATAACCAAATTCAGAAAAATGTATTCTTTTATCCTTAGCAGGAACGAAGCTCTTTCAGGTTTAGAACAACTTGAACAGATTTTAAGTGTTGTGTAAGTTGATGGGGTCCAGAAACTGGTTAAACATATTTTTTCCAACAGATTATGTAATGGTCATTAATTTGTTCTTTTTAACACATAATGGACACTTTATTTTTTTAATAGATATAAAATATTTGGTACTATTTCTATTCTCTGGCTGTATATTTTAACAAAAAAAAATGTCTGTAGTTTGTAATGTATGGGTGTTTCCTGTTTTTATGCTTTTGCATTGCACTATAGGGCCTTGATCCCTGCTTAGACCTTTTATGATGCTGAACATTTGATTGCATTGACATTTTAGTCATTTGCTCATAGAAATTCCAAAATAAAAATATATGCAGTTGTTTTACTGGTTTATTTTTTTAGCATGTACAGATGACCCTTAATTAAGCATTCATTTGAAATAATATGCACTTACTGTATGTTCAGTTGTTACAATTTAAAGTTTTCATTTAACAATCTTTAATAATGCGGTTTAAATCAAACCATTTTATTCAACTTCACAGCCTGCCTATAGTTTTGTACAATATGTTCATGTTTTGTTCTATTAAATTGTCAGTGTAAACTTTTACATATTTTTCCTTTCATATTATTATTATTAAAGTTTTGAAGCCACTGCTGGCATCTGTATACAATTGCTATGCCAGGAAGCAGGTTTGGAGAGTAGGAAATGTTTAATCTCACAGAACAACTCTTCTGGATGTCCTGTTATGAGTGCAGGCTTGCCAGATCTTTAATTTTCTTCAGTTTCATCCAAATTTGTTGTTTGTGCATCAGGACTCTTTGCCTTACTGCTGATGGTGCTGGAGTGGACCCGTCCAGGCCTGTCCTCCCCATTACGCCCCATCTGTGACCTGCGCGTCCTCGACCATTTCATTAAGGAGGCATGGGATGCAGAGGCTGCTATGGTGAGAGACATGCACATGATGGATAAAGTTCATAAACACATTTGACAGGAATCCCTACTTTCTTGCTTTTCATCTACAGTTTTAATCTCATACGTGCATCAACCAAGCATCTTTGCAAAAACATTAGCTATGTCTGAAAGCTAGATAGCTAGACTGTGACTTGCCAATCAGGCAGTGACTCTGGATGAAGTGTTACTGCACAAAGGCACCTTATAAAACAGATTTCAGACAAATTCTAAAACACAGCATAATGATTTAATCATGTATAACAAAAAAGAAAGAGGCTTGGTAAGTAAAGCCCTGGTCAGATCACACAATTTTGTCATGATTTCGGCACAATTTCCTTAACGTAAGGTATCATGGGGAGTTGTAGACAACAAATGGGCATTCAATTGTTCAATTCAAGATTCAATCGTTTATTCATGTGTAATGTGGCATTGTTCACGACGACTGATACTATGCATGCGACACCTCACGACACCATCGCAGAAAGTCTGTTTAATTTTTCCCCGATCTTCACAATGAGTTCCGTCACGTGGGTGACAATGGACAATAGGAGCAAATCATTTTTCAGTTATAGGCGCCGCTGCCATTAATCCGTGGGTCAGGTAATCAAAAAATAGGCTGCTTATTTACTTATGAGTGAGTCTCGGGTGGACAAGATCAGTCATTGGTTATGCAAACTTTAACTGCTTTCTCTAAAATATTAAAGTGTTTTAAGAAATTTTATTAGACAGACTGTCTCAAATATACAGACATTTACAAGTTTCTGAGTTTTCTCAGCCTTCTGATGATCAAGTTCGTTCTGGGAACACGTTCAGTGCTGGGAACACATTGAAAAAGCCTTGATAAAACTTATTAAATTGAAACTGACTGACTCAATGGATGATTTTGTCATGGATGATTTTGTCATTAAAAGTTAAAACTGTTTAATATAAGTTTATCTGAAACAGTAAATATTCCACTTTAATTTAATTTTATTTATCTTGTTTATCTAGTAGATAGCTGTTTAACAATAATACATTAAAATTAAGATAGTAATTATACAAAACTAAATTCATTTCAAAAAGATATTTTTTCCAATAAAAATATATGAATTATTTTTGTTTGTTTGTTCCCGTCCACTACTCATATGTGCAGGTGGATGATTTGTTCACACTGTGGAAAACAAGAATTTATTAATGCTTGACGGTAATTGCTGTATCACAAACCTCTGTCACATATTTGCTAACTTTTTAATATGGCATCATTTTGTCTTGAGCATCTGATTTTTTATTGATTTTCTCCATCTCAGTTCAGGTGAGGGAGTGTTTAAGCAACCTATGGCTGAAAAATATACATTTAGATTTAAAAGAAAATATCTTATTATTAAAAAGGAATCATAAGTTTGATCCTATCCATGTCGTAACGGATGCCCTTAAATAATGTAGTTATTAGTTGTCAGCAAACATCAATGTTTGTTTAGATTGACATAAGATAAAAAAAACATTGAAATTAAAATAAGAAATATTGTTTTAGCAACATTTGTGATTGCTTTAAGAAATAACGCTCGTTGTATACCTCAGGGGGGATGACTGATCGTGACAGACATATAGTCTGGTACATTTGTTACCCTTGACAAGTGAAGATTTTATCAAGACAAAATCGCGTAATCTGACATGGTGACTTTCGTAACACCAATAAAAATCATGTTATTTGCTTACTACAATACTTACTACTAACTACTAATTTCTTGCTAGAAATGTCATTAAAAGTGGAAAACGTTGGACGGAGACATACTTTTACTCTCAAATTGACACTGAAGTGGTGCTTTGAGACTTTTTTTAGCACAACTGTCAGAAATGGAATGCACAGGATTGTGGGATATCGAAGGCAGCGAAGAATAGAACATAAATAGAACTAAGGGAAGCAGAATTTAGATTCAGAAATGTCTTCATGATGCCTTCCTTTCTTGGAACGCTTCCCCCGAATGCAGCATTTTAGAGTTTTCACATGCAGCCAATGTCATGTTACCCACTAAAAAAAGATCTCTCACTGTGAGTGTTGTTGTTATCACAGAGAACTTGTAAGGACGATTGCAGCATTGCAACGAACGTCACTGTTCCTCTGACCAGAGTCGATTTTGAAGTCTGGGAAGCGATGAATGTAAGTGATGATGTTCTTGCTGTGAACGGAATGTGGTACTGAATAAATGACGTGGTTAAAACTCTTCTCTGTTTGTCACTTCAGATAGAGGAGCAAGCTCAGGAGGTCCAGTCAGGCTTACACATGCTGAACGAGGCCATTGGCTCATTACAGATATCTAATCAGACTGAAGTGCTTCAGTCTCACATAGATGCCAGTATTAGAAACATCGCCAGCATCAGACAAGTGCTGCGAAGTCTCAGCATACCGGTGAGTTCATAAAATGTTTTAACAAATAGGCCTTGTTTCCACCTAGTATTAAAATGCATTCAAATGTGTGTGTGTAAAAAATAACTGACTGCTCAGAACAGAATTCTGCTATATGCTGTATATAAATCGTGTCCCAGATATTTGATATGGCAGTTTCCATACTCTGTGATCTGCAATCCCTGCAGTAAGTGGATTTTTGTGGCTGTTCCATTGTATTTGACAATAAGTGTGCTTGCTCCGTGAAAGAAATTTGGTTAATTGTGTTTTTGACTACCTCTGATGTTGGGGATGTGATGCGCGAGTACTAGGCCAGTGGTTCCCAAAGTGGGGGTCAGGAACCCCCAGGCGGGTCGCAGGACTATGACATTTACATTTAGTCATTTAGCAGACGCTTTTATCCAAAGCGACTTACAAATGAGGACAAGGAAGCAATTTACACAACTATAAGAGCAACAATGAATAAGTGCTATAGGCAAGTTTCAGGTCTGTAAAGTCTAAGAAGGAAAGCATTAGTAATTAAAAAAAAAAATTTTTTTGGAGTACAGTTAGTGGTATATCTAGAGAGCCAATTGCAGATTAGGAAGTGAAGTGGAGACTAAATAGTTGTTTTAGTCGTTTCTTGAAAACAGCGAGTGACTCTGCAGTTCTGATGCAGTTAGGGAGTTTATTCCACCAACTGGGCAGATTGAACGCGAGAGTTCGGGAAAGTGATTTCTTCCCCCTTTGGGATGGAACCACGAGGCGATTTTCATTCACAGAACGCAAGTTTTTTGAGGGCACATAAATCTGCAGAAGTGAGAGTAGATAAGAAGGAGCAAAGCCAGAAGTCGCTTTGTAGGCAAACATTAGAGCTTTGAATTTGATGCAAGCAGCAACTGGCAGCCAGTGCAAATGGATGAGCAGCGGAGTGACATGTGCTCTTTTAGGTTCATTAAAGACCACTCGTGCTGCTGCGTTCTGAAGCAGCTGAAGAGGCTTGATAGAGTTAGCTGGAAGCCCCGCTAGTAGAGAGTTGCAGTAATCCAGTCTGGAGAGAACAAAAGCTTGAACAAGGAGTTGAGCTGCATGTTCAGATAAGAATGGTCGGATCTTTCTTATGTTATAGAGTGCGAATCTGCACGATCGAGCAGTTCTAGAAATGTGGTCAGAGAAGTTTAGTTGGTCATCCATCGTTACTCCAAGGCTTTTCACCATTTTGGATGCAGTAATGGTTGCCCCATCCATCTGGATTGAAAAGTTATGGTGTAGAGTCGAGTTGGCAGAAACTACAAGCATTTCCGTTTTTGCGAGGTTCAGCTGAAGATGATGATCTTTCATCCAGTGTGAAATGTCCGACAGGCAGGCTGAGATGTGAGGGAGTTGCTTGACAATTTTCAAAAATCAAGTTAATTTTATTAAATTATTAGAATTATCATATTTTATCCATAACCTACTGAAGAACAAAAGGGTAGTTAGTAGTAACATTGTTAACATGTTATTAAAAAACATTTAAAAAACAACATGCAAATGAAAAGTAATTTTCCTTTCAATTCATTTGTGACCCCTGGCATGATTACATTATATTAAAAACACAGCAATAGTATCAGAAGAAGCACATTGATTTCATGGCACCAGGTTAAACTTTCTGGCACCTTTACAGCACTCACATACATTAAAAATATATACAGGCCACAACTGAACATGGAGAATGGTCTTAGAGTAGCGTTCTTCAAAATTAAATGATGAATAGATTTGGGCCAATTGGTATGTGTGTGCCGTTGTACACAATGTTTATATATTTATCACCACCTCAGAAGATATTGGGGGTTGCAAGTCACTTGCATTGTTATTTTGGGGCTCAAAAGTTTGGCCTAGTCTGCCCTAGGCTATATGACAATTATTAGGAAAATTCTCTTTTGCCTAAGAGAATAGTTTAAGGGTGTTGCATATATTCTTTTAATTAGTTATCTTAGTGAAGTTTATTCATAAACAAATTTCGAGAGGCTCACGTGCTTATGATTGTTCACAGCTGTTCCAACTTTAGCTAATGACTGATTATCCTATTAGACGATCCCTAACTCACTATAAATAACCAGACTTTTCTCATCTCAATATCTTCGTCTTGAAGAAACCCCCCCACCCAACCCTACTTTCCCTCCTTTCAAACGGGCGTCATGGTGGCCAGCGATTAGCGCTGTTGCCTCACAGCAAGAATGCCCCTGGTTTAATTCTTTTCCAAACCAGATGGCATTTCTGTGCGGAGTTTGCTCGTTCTCCCCGTGGTCGCGTGGGTTTTCCCCGGGTCCTCCGGTTTCCTCCCACAGTTCAAAAACAAGCACTATAAACAATTAATCAAAATACATTAGCTAAACTCTGAGTACACCCTTCAGCATACATATCCGACACTTAGCTACAACAAGCAAGAAGGGGAGTCATCGAGATCTACCTGAGCTCAAACTCCCCTCTCGCCTTGCAACGGGAGGGAGCCCAGGGCTCGAGGATCTTATAAGCTCAGGGCTCTCTCCCGGGACAGCACGCCAAACTAGCTTTACTAACAATCATCAGCTAAGTGTGAACTCTTAAAAGTAAGTGAAATCGTTATGTGTTTCAGGACATAAGAGCAGACATATGACTGCAGCTATCCACAATAAACCTCTCTTGGCACAAAGCACATTCTGTTTTTGGGGAGACTGGGCTTCTTTCAGAACTATGCCAATTTTGTCTTTAGATTTAGGGGTTTTAACATTCAGATAAGCCATTGCAACCTCTATAATGCTCAGGTCTGGGCTTTGTGGAGTCCACTTCAAGCCTGTCTGTCTTTTATTAGCTGATTTTCTCTGTTAATACGATTTCACTGTTCAGGTTCATTTTTCTGTGGGTCCTCTGTTGGTATTTGGTTTTACATTTTGGGTGTTTAAAAAAGGTAAAAGACAAAAAAAAAGATAAATGAATGGACTCGACTCCAAGGGTTTTTAAAATTGATTTTTATTTGTCCAGTGTTTTTTTATGTTACATTGTTGACCCTAGACCAGAGTCGTAACATAATACTGTAGTATATGATTATTATATACCCACACATGTAATATTAGCCAAAGTTTCTTTTTTCACAGTACTGTACATGCATTACATCTAAGAACGTCAGCTTGTCTGTTCCCTGGGAATCAAACCCCATGAACTCGGTTTTGCTTATGTCATGCTTCAACACTAAAGCTACAGGAAGAGGAAAATGGATGTTATGCTAATCAAGCATGTTCGACAAACTTATGTCAGCTTCAGGAACTGAGCAAGTCTGAGCTTCGTCACTCTATGGTGATTGTGTCATAGTGTTACATAACAATCAGTGGGGTTATGCTAAAATATTTCTCACAATAAATAAACATTCATTCATTAATTTTCTTTTCGGCTTAGTCCCTTTAATAATCTGGAGTCGCCACCGCAGAATGAACCGCTAACTTATCCAGCATGTTTTACGCTGTGGATGCCCTTCCAGCTGCAATCATCACTGAGAATCACCCATACACTCATTCACACACATAGACTACGGACAATTTTAGCTTACCCAATTCATCTGTACCACATGTCTTTGGACTTGTGGGGGAAACCAGAGCACCTGGTGGAAACCCACGCGAACGCGGGGGAGAACATGCAAACTCCACAGAGAAATGCCACCTGAACCAGCCAAGGCTCGAACCAGCGACCTTCTTGCTGTAAGGCGGCAGCACTACCTTCTATGCCACCGCATCGCTATGCATGAACATGTCCATATACATTTGCATTAAGGATTGTTAATACCAAGTATGATTGGTACTAATGTAAAGAAAACAAGTAAACATGTCTGATTTCAGAGATTTATATTTAGGTTTTATTTCAGATGATGCACGAGGCATGGCTGCTTTTCCATTAATATTCAAATTCTGTAAATTGACATTGTAAACTGAAAAATGGGAAACATCAATTTGCAACTTCTATATAAACTGCAAAAACATTTTTATGCTTACAAACTTGTTTTTTTCCCATGTAATGAATAACAAGGTTGATTTCCTCCTTGTGGAAGTGTGCAGTATAAATATAAATAAATACACACATACACATTTACTGGCCACTAGTATCAGATTGGACCCTCTTTAGAACTGCATTAATCCTTTGTGGCATAGATTCACCAAGGTACTGGAAATATTCCTCTGAAAAAATTGTCTATGTTGACATGATAGCATCACGCAGTTGCTGCAGATTTGTCGGCTGCACATCCATGATGCGAATCTTCTGTTCCACCACATCCCAAAGGTGCTCTATTGGATTGAGGACTGGTGACTGTGGAGGCCATTTGAGTACAGTGAACTCATTGTTCATGTTCAAGAAACCAGTCTGAGATGATTCATGCTGTCTGACATGGTGTGTTATCCTGCTGGAGGTAGCCATCAGAGAATAGGTACACTGTGGTCATAAAGTAATGGACATGGTCAGTAACAATACACAGGTAGGCTGTGGCGTTGACACAATTGGTACTAATGGGCTCAAAGGGTGCCAAGAAAGTATCCCACACATCATTACACCACCACCACCACCACCACCAGCCCGAACCATTTATACAAGACAGGATGGATCCATGCTTTCATGTTGTTGATGCCAAATTTTGACCCCACCATCTGAATGTCACAGCAGAAACCGAGACTCATCAGACCAGGCAATGTTTTTCAAACGTTCTGTTGTCCTATTTTCGTGAGCCTGTGTTAATTTTAGCCTCAGTTCCTTGTTCTTAGCTGACAGTAGTGGCACCCAGTGTGGTCTTCTGCTGCTGAAATCCATCTGCCTCAAGGTTTGACGTGTTGTGCATTCAGAGATGCTTTTCTGCATACCTCGATTGTAACGAGTGGTTAATTGAGGTACTGTTGCTTTGGTTTGAACTGCAGCAAATCATCTCGACCATGTCTACATGCCTAAATGCATTGAGTTGCTGCTATGTGCCTTGGCTGATTTGAAATTTGGTTTAACGAGAAGTTGGACAGGTGTACCTAATAAAGTGTGTGTATGTATGTATGTGTGTGTGTGTGTTTGTGTTTGTGTGTGTGTGTTTGTGTGTGTCGAATATATATCAGATGGAGTCTGAAAATCCTTCTCTATTCTGATGTTATCTGCTTTGGTGAATATAGCAAATGAAGGCATGAATGGAAATCAAGATAAATGGTGTATGGTTTATTTCCAATTTGAAAAGACTTAAAAGACTAAAGACTGACAGAACCTAACTTTTTAACTCCTTTCTCTTTGTCCATCAGGAATATGTACCTCCAACCAGTAGTGGAGAAGACAAGGAGACACAGAAAATATCCTCGATCTCAGAGCTGTTTCAGGTCCATGTCAACTTTCTTCGGGGAAAAGCGCGTCTGCTGCTCGCCAATGCACCTGTCTGTCGACAGGGTGTCAGCTGATAAACAATTCAGGGCAAAGGCCAAACTAATCAAAGCTCCTCATATCAGGAGGCAGGATATGGACTATTACAAAGGAAATATATGACTGGGAGTTGTAGCACTTTGAAAGATTTACTCACAAAGGGAAGAGAAGACATCCCCCTGAATGCCAAGCGGCAAACCCACCTGCCAAAATCTACAAGAAATCACTCCTTTTTCCCCATATGACTGATGAAGCTTGTCCAGCACAACTGGGAAGGTTTATCTGGGACTCTTTTTCTACTGTTTATGAAATTGTCATTATTTATATATATATATTTCCTAGAGCTGGAATCACTGCAGGTTTTTCTCGGAAGCTGTTCAAGTAAAGACCTCCCTTTCTCCATCTACCATGGCCTCAAGCACCTCCAACTGTTGATAGAGACAACTATTTATCGTTATTAATTATGCACTGTAGGTTTCTATTAATTTTCGTGGATGTATGTGTGGGTGTGTGTGTGTGATTTTTGAGAATGCTGAGAATGGATGTGTCGGACGTCAGGAGAGGATGGTTGTAATTCTGAATTCTTACGGGTCATTTGGGGTGAACAGGATGAAGGGCTAGATTGCTGCTAGTGTCGAGCGAATTGGAAACTTTCGTGCGAGCTGATGAGGCTCATGTCCGAAACACGCCGATGAGTGTGGCCTTGTACAGATAACACCGCTGCCAGGAAAAATATTGATTAGCGTATGACGAACATCCTGGCTTACTTCCACTTCACGCACGACGCTGCATACTTGCCTTTGGGAAACGGTCGTAAGGTTGACATTTTGTTGCTGTTTTTCTGGACTTGTTTGTAGTCTTTCGTAAATAGCCAGTTTTTTTTACATCTGTCAATCAGTCAGTCTGAATGCAACAAAGTATGTTTGTAGATGTTTTTTCCTGTTATTTTGCTGTTTTTGTGGTTCTTTCATCACAACGCTGTTTGGTTTTCAAATACACAGTATTATTCTTAGCTACAAACATAGTGAAAACAAGAAGAGTGGAAGTTTTTGTCTTATGAAGCATCTCTAGTGAGAATGAACCAAAACACTGTAAATACATGTGATTCCAAAGTGTATTTGATATGAAAGCAAGTACTTTTTTTTAGCTATTATGGAGAGGAATATAGGCATACATTATGCCTAAGCCATAACTGGATTATAAAATAAGTAATGGATTTTTGTCATGTTGTTTCTTCTGATGGAGTTTAGTCACACCACTAAATATTTTTGAACACATCTTTGTGTCTTTTTATTCACCTTGGCTTGTAGTTCTGGCCATCAAGAATGGCTAAACAAGACTCGAATTACTAGTCTACTTCTGAACATCAACAAAGCATCCATTGTAAATAACCATTGCCAAATATTTCAGTTTAGAGGACCATCTATAGGCGAAAAGAAATTTTGAGAAAAACAAAACAGCTCATTTTCCAATTATTTCTAAGATTTATTATTATTGTGGATGGCTCAGTGTTTAGCTCTGTCACCACAGTTAGTATTTCTCTGTGGAGTTTTCATGTTCTCCCCATGTTAACAAGGGGTTTCCTCCAAGTGCTCCGGTTTCCCCCACAGTCCATAGACATGCAGTATGGGAACTGGAAAATGAATTTGATGAACTAAATTGGTTGTTTTTGTGTGTGTGTGTGTGTGTGTGTGTGTGTGTGTGTGTGTGTGTGTGTGTGTGTGTGTGTGTGTGCGGATGCTTCCCAGTACTGGGTTGCGGCTGTGTGTGCATCCAGTCTAAAACTTATGCTGGAAACGTTGGTGGTTCATTCCGCTGTGGCGACCCCTGATAAATAAGGGACTAAGCCGAAGGAAAATGAATGAATTATTATTATTATTTTAAAATATTTATCTTAACAATGTGCCTTTTATTTACTTTCTATCGTTTATACCTTTAGTGGCCCCTTTATTAGGTACATCTTGCTTCTTCGTAACGCAAATATCAAACCAGCCAGTCACATCACAGCAGCTCAGTGCACTGAAGCATGTAAACGTAATCCAAAAAAATTCAAATCAGACTTTGCCGATTCAAGACAGTCTGGTCTGAGAATTTCAGTAGCTGCTGATTTACACAAAACCATTACTAGGTCTGCAGAGAATGCTTCGAAAAAGAGAAAACACCCAGCAAACACCAGTTGTGTTTGCAAAAATGCTTTGTTTGAGGCCAAAAGACAGAGGGAAATGTCAAGACTGGTATGAGCTCATAGAAAACAGCAACTCAAATAACCACTTGTTACAATCCGTATCTACGGATAAGTGGATCTATTCTGCCTCGATTCAGTAGTTCAGGGTTTTGTGCAGTAAAATGGTGTGGCTAATATTTTCTTGGGTGCTTTAGTAACAATTGACTATCATTTAAACGCCACAGCCTACCTGAGTATTGTTGCTACTCATCTATCTGTAACCACAGTCAATCAGTGTTGTAATGGCTACTTCCAGAAGGATAATACCTGGTAATATGCTAAATGCATCCATCATAAACAGAAATGCAATGTGGTCAAAGAGAAATCGATGCCTTTTTTAAGCCAAAAGGGAGCCTAACATGGTACTGGCAAGGCTATTAATTAATTATTAAAATGCATTTATTTTTCCTATTAAAACTAAGATAGATTTGATGAAAATGTTTAAATGTGTGTGTGTGTGTGTGTATGTATGTATGTATATATATATATATATATATATATATATATATATATATATATATATATATATATATATTTATTTATTTATTTTTATTTTTATTTATTTTTTTTTTTTACCTTTATTATATACTGGTTTGCCATCATTATATTCTTATTAATAGGACAGTTCACCCAAAAGTGAAAATTTACTCACAATCACTTGGTTTCATACCTTTATGAGATTCCTCTTTCTGTTGAACATTAAAGAAGATATTTTGAAAAATGTTATAATGTTGTAACTATCGACTTCCAAAGTAGAAATCAAACACTATGGAAGTCAATGGTCACAGTTTTGTAAATTTTCTTCTTATTTCTTGTTCAACAGAAACAAAAACTCAAACAAGTTTCTGACAGGTAAAGGGATGAAGAAAATTATGAGAGAATTTTCAGTTTTGGGTGAACTATCCCTTTTATAAAATTAATAATAATAATATCTAAAATATATTGTTGTCTTAATATGCATACACATGCAGGAAGATACAATCAACAAAGTGTTGGTGGGGCTGTTTACTTTGCATTTAAGCTGTTTACTTTCCATTTAAGTTTACTATACACAAGAACACAAATACATAGTAGAAAAAAATACATATGGCACATTTCTTTCTTGTTTTTCAAATAAAACATTCAATAACACAGCAATTAATTAAAAAAAAAGTCTTGAAGCAGAAAAAAATCATAAATAATGCATCACTTTAAAAAACTTCTACATGCCACTAACGTCATACAATTGTTCATGAAGCCCTCATTCATTATATTGACACTGAAGCTGAAACTACGGATTGGGGTAAAACACCTTGATATGGATGGCCGAGTTATTCCGGGTACGGGTCAGATGCTCTCCGGCCTCGTCCGGATCTTCAGGCTCCAGGTCGTCGATGAGCTCCACCGTGGAGGTGTTTGCGGCGAGTTGCAGGGCGCCCTGGCTGGACGTCTGGAGCTGCAGAGCGATGTTTATAGCCCGGTTGATGGCCAGTCCCAGGCCGTGGATGCAGATTTCCCTGTGAGCGTCCAGAAGTTTCTGACACCTCGCTAGCTGAGCCTTGAAGTCAGTCTTCATGTTGACATAGACGTCGTTCCTCCGTTTGGGCAGTTTGCGAGGCAGTCGCTTGCGGAGGGTGAACTCTATTGGGTCCATCTCAAGGGTCGAGCCCTCGGGGGCAGCCAGGACTATTGGATTGTGGGGCACAGAAGCGGACACCGGGCTTCGTGGCTCAGCCATGTCGAATCACCTGAAAGGTGCTGCACAAACAGAACATTAATTCGCGTTTTAAAGATAAGACTCGTAACAATTTTACATATAAATGATGTGTGAATTATATTTTAACGACATGTATTTAAACGATTCCCCACAATGAACCGACTCATATGAATCATCCATTCGTGAATGGCTATATACACTGGGCGTGCATTATATTTCAGGGTATAACGCTGTATATTAAATAAGATATTACATCCACATCACATTCGAGAAACATTTTGTTTACGAAGCAGGTTCTCATTTACACAAACATTTCCAATTCATTGCCACTTAAGTTAGTGGATATAGATTTTAATATATAATGTTTGATGTATAATTTGGGATTTTGAGTAAGAGTAGTACCTTGAATTAGAAGAGCTTGTTTCAGATCCGCGCTTAATTCCTGGTAGATAAAGAATCTGCTTATTTACAGATCTGTCTTATCTCTCATTCCGGAAGACGTCTTGCGTACACTGGAAGTAATACACTATGTGATTACAAAATACATACTGTTCTTTTCTTGGTGGGGAAATATCTATTTTTATTTCGTATATCAAATAGTTATAATTGAATCCTAATTAAAAATATATATGAGTTAAAATACGTAAAAATATAAAAGTACCTGTATGAACGAGATCGTTGCTAATCAGTAAATATAGTTAGTGTCTCTTATTTTGAAAATAGAAACAGTTTAGCGGCACGGTGTGTATGGTGGTACAGTCACTCAGCGTTAGTTTGCTAGATGTAATCTAAACTTCATAAAACCCCTGTTTAATCAGTACTGTTTGTTTATTTGCTGTTTAGCTCGTTTAATTTAAGCCATGTCGGACACATGGAGTCACATCCAGGCGCACAAAAAGCAGCTGGATTCACTACGAGAGAGGCTGCAGAGGAGAAGAAAAGACCCAACTCAACTGGGCACTGGTGTGTTGAGTAATTTTACATTATCTGATATCTGAAAAATAAAATGTGTATTTTTAACTGTTTGTGTGATATGTAAAAACAAAGAAGACAGTTTTATGATTTTTATTATCATATCACTTTTTAAATGTATTAAAAATTGTAAAACATCCAGGGCATATCTTTATCGTTAACAATAAAATAAGAGATAATGATGATATGTACAGGCAACGTCGTGAGTTGTATGCTCAAGCAAATATGTAGGTGAGAGAACGTTATGTATTAATAACAGGTTAAGATAAGTCCCTTTAGAGCAAATTGTAATTGTTTTTATACAGCTCTTTTGTGGTTTTACGTTTAGCTGAAAGAGTCTCCTTAAGCTGCAGGTTGTGTAAAATGACTATGAGGATTGTGCTTCATTTTTTTATTATTCTGTTAGGCAAGAGTACAACCATTCCCTGCTTTAATGACAAATGTGATGTATGAATTTATTTGTCAGCTGGAGAACATACATAACAATATGTTGTTGACAAATCCTAGACCTAAAGATGTTCGATATCAGTCCTCTGTGAGAAATATTAGCGTAACTGTTATTTTTAATGTATAATGTATAATTAATGTATCATTTTCAATGTAAAATTATATAACTTACTATTTTCCCAGTGTTGTGTTGCAGCTAGAAGGACATCCCGCTTCATTCCGCTGTGGCGACCCCAAATTAATAAAGGGACTAATCCGAAAAGAAAATGAATGAATGAATAATTTACTGTTTTGCATGTTATTGTGTGTTTTCTTTCTTTTCTTGTTTTATTTGCTAAACATTAAACTACCTTTGTAAACCACGTTTCTGATATAATCAGATTTATTTACTTGAATTCAAATGCTAAACGTGGAAATATCTAATACTATCAGAAGTGTACTATCAAAATGGTAAAAACATTTGAATGTATGCTAAAAGAAAGTTCAGCGGTGTCGAAATAGTGAGTCTATGATGCCACCTGCTGTATGAGAATTTCCTAACAGTTCTTATTTTAACAGAGGTTGGAAGTGTTGAGAGTGGATCTGCAAGAAGTGACAGCCCGGGACCAGCAATTCAGAGTCCTCCACAAGTAGAAGTTGAGCATCCTCCAGACCCAGAGCTAGAGAAGAGGCTGCTGGGATACCTCTCTGAACTGAGCCTTTCCCTGCCAACTGATTCCCTAACGATCACCAACCAGCTAAATACAGTAAGAGCTGTGTGCACTAACAGCTATGAATCTGAACCCATATCTTTTTATTATTATTATTATTATTATTATTATTATTATTAATAATATTATTCCACCCTTTTTTAGAATAACTGTTAGATTGTCAAAAAGTGTTAAAGGAATACTACTCTTTTTTTTTTTTTTTTAATAGACTCATTTAACAAGACCCCAAGAGTTAAACTGTTACGATTTTAATCATAGATATCTATGTGGAGCACTTTTAGCTTAGCTTAGCTTAGCATAGATAATTGAATCAGATTAGACTATTAGCATCTTGCTCAAAAAAAGTATTTTGATTATTTTCCTATTTAAAGCTTGACTCTTCTGTAGTTACATTGTGTAACAAGACTGACAGAAAATGAAAAGTTGCTATTTTTTAGGCTTATTAGTCTAATAAATAGCATTCTGGCATAACAATTAACAAACTTTACTGTTACTTTTATCAATAGTGCTGTGTAATGTCATTGCGCCTGCTGCGTCCATGGTACGACAGTAAAATTCTTTTGATTATTATGGCCGAATGAGAGTATAGTTCAGAGCCATATCCACGTCTTGGTGTTACTAGAGAAGTAAAGCTTTAATATTATCGAAGTTATTGACATTTATTTATATATTTAAGTTTCAAACAAGACGCTAAGGGTCTAATTTAATTCAATGATTTATGCTAAGCTAAGCTAAAAGCAGCCAGACCCAGAGAATGACTGAATTGATTCTTAAAACTCAACTGTTTAACTCTAGGGGAGCTGATAAATGAATCTATTTTTTAAAAAAGTGGTTTCTATTAAATAAATTGAGAGACTCAAATATGTTTGTGATTTCTCTTCAATTTTCATTCACAGTCTGAGTCTCCAGTTTCCCATTCCTGCATTCAAAGTCTCCTTCTTAAATTTTCTGCTCAAGAGCTTATTGAAGTTCGGCAGCCATCCATCACCTCCTCTTCGTCCTCCACCCTCGTCACGTCAGTCGACCATACCAAACTATGGGCTATGATTGGCAGCGCAGGCCAGTCACAGAGAACTGCCGTTAAAAGGAAAGCAGACGACATCACTCATCAAAAAAGAGCCCTGGGCTCCTCCCCTTCGATTCAAGCACCGCCTTCTCCTCCAAGGAAATCCTCAGTCTCATTGGCTACTGCCTCAATCTCGCAACTCACTGCATCCTCTGGGGGAGGAGGGGGTGGAGCTGATAAAAAGGGGCGGAGCAATAAGGTGCAAGCATCTCACCTGGATATGGAGATTGAAAGTCTACTGAGCCAGCAATCCACTAAGGAACAGCAAAGCAAAAAGGTATAATAATGAAGCAAAACAGCATGCTAAAGCCACTGTGATTTAAATGTTTGCGGTGTATTTATGTGTGCTTGTGTGTCAGGTGAGCCAAGAGATCCTAGAGCTGCTGAATACCAGTTCAGCAAAAGAACAGTCGATTGTGGAGAAGTTTCGCTCACGAGGCAGAGCTCAAGTTCAGGAGTTCTGTGATTATGGAACCAAAGAAGAGTGTGTGCAGTCGGGGGACACTCCTCAGCCCTGCACCAAGCTGCACTTCAGGTCAGTTCACATTAAAGAAGAATAAGAATAATGATGAATATAAATGATAACCATTCAAAATTTAAATATATAAATATAATAATAATTACAACAATACATTTAGGACTTAAATTTATATTAAATAGTGAAAGATTTGACAGTACACTAATTTTTCAATTCTGTTTATCCACAGTACCGACTTCACAATATTTTATAGCTTTCATAATAGTTTATTTTTAGTGATTAATTTTTCAAAACATATGGTAAATGCTTATTACAATGGTTTATATTGTTTTATTTATTTAGTGTTTGTTTGTCTGTTTGTTAATAGTTTTTACACCAAAATCTAAATATTCATGAATTTGCTTTGCTAAAAATAAGGAATTATATTAGACGTGTATTTGTGCACTTGTCCCTGACTGCATTGAAAGTTTTGTATTTTATTTAAGATTATTAATTGTTTTAATTTATTAATAAATAATGTTAATATACATAATAATAAAGAGTTAAAAGTGCGACCCTTTGGCTTTACCATATCTAAAGTACAGTTACCATTATTAAATCAAGATGAAATAAAAAAAATTATAATAATCTTTTCTAATATCGTTTTTGCATTTTAACTTTACACTCTGATAATAAAAAAAAAAACGTCTCTGTATTTTACATCGATGTTTATGACCTCTCTTCTTATACTTCAATCAACACATTTCTAACTCCACTACATTTTAGTAAAAACTTGAAAGGTCTCCAAACTCCCTCAAAACATTGTATTTATCTATTAATATACAGGTTATCTTTTTTCTCATTGTCATATTTGTAACAATGTCTTTCAGCCAACATCCTATATTTGGTGTACATACATTTTCTCAGTTTAACACTTTGACTGCTCCTCTACCAAATGGTTATCTACCAAACCATTTTTTACTGTTTTAAATAATGACTGTTAAAGTCTTTTAAAGAATGACTATTTTAAATAATGGCTTACACACAGCATTGTTAGTTTACAAAAGAAATTAAACAAACACCCCCTGGCACTACTACACTACACTTAAAAAAACAAAAAAGATAGCATGTTAAATGAGAATCTGAATTATTTTGTGGCATACTTTAAAAAAAAGGTGATTTATTATTCGAATATGTTTTATTTTTAAACCTTTTTTAATAAATTGGTCTTGTCTTCATATTTTCAGATTTTTCATAATTTATGTATTAAGCCCGGTGCTTTTACCATAAACCAACAAATAAACCATTTGGTAGAGGCTGATGTTTTAGAAATTATGGGATGTGTATAAAAATGCATTGAGTGTGTTAACTAGCGACATTGGGAGTTAAGAAATGCAATGCAAACATTTTTTTTGGTGGGGCAGTTAAAGGGTTAAAAAAGTGATCCTTTTAGCTTGAAGAATAGATACACAGGGGGATTCAAAAAAAATACCACAATTTTGAAAATCGAGAACTCTGCAAAAAAGAAAAGGAGAGCTAAGCTCTTTCTGTCATCGATTTCAGGAAGCTCTGGAGTTTTGAAAAACCTTTAAGTACTTTTCACATTGATTAATTACCCAAGGTTCCATCATGTTTCTTTGATTAAATACAGAGTTTCAAAGTTGTGGTATTCTTTTTGAATCAACCTGTATTTATAAATGTACATTCAGTGCTTTAAATCTTGATTATCTGAAAATATATCAGAGGTGACAGTGCAGTATTAACACACAGTATCTTCTCTATTATCTCTTTCACTTCTTTGAAAAATTTGTAAATAAAATTCCACACTCCCATTTGCAGTGATATAGTGTACCTTTAATCTCATTGCATCTTAAGCAGTTTTACGGAATGTTTTCATTATATATATATGCAATACAAGCAGAGAATTTATTAAATTCTTATTTTATAATGCACTTGTAAATATATGTAAATATAATTTTATATATGCAATTAAATTACTACACCAGTAATAATAATAATAATAATAAGTATTTAATTGTATTTATTTTAGTATATTATTTAATACAATAATATTTCCTGAACACATTTTTATAATCATTTTCATTTTATTATAAATGTTTAACTGATGATTTGTTGAATTGCATTACATCGTGACTTTTCTAGGCGAATCATCAACAAACACACAGATGAGAGCCTTGGCGACTGCTCCTTTCTAAACACTTGCTTCCACATGGACACCTGTAAATATGTGCACTATGAGATTGACAGTCCTCCTGAAGCAGAGGGAGATGCACTGGGGCCACAGGCAGGGGCAGCTGAGCTTGGGCTGCACTCTACTGTGGGAGACAGCAATGTGGGCAAGCTGTTTCCTTCCCAGGTAAAGTATAACAAGGATTCACAAGTTCTATATAATCCATTAACCTATAATAAAATGGATTTGAATCTTGTGATTTAGAAATATAAAATTACTAGAAACACTCTTCTCTCTACACTCTATAACCTAATGCTCTGAGCACAATCAATTCCTTTGTATAGTTAGCACTTCTTGTGTGTATTGGCTCTTCTTGTTGAATCGTTGAATGCCTCCTTAATTGAAAGTCGCTTGGGACAAAAGCATCTGCTAAATTTAAATGTAAAATGAGGCTTAAGCTGCGGTCACACTAGAGTTTGTGTGTGCGAAATTCAGTCGTACAGCGTTACGAAAAGGGGTGGGATTAAACAAGAGTATTAGACATTTAAAAAGCGAGTAATTGCTCCATTTTTTACATTTCTGTCCAGAGAGGTCGCGACATGATCATGTTTTGATCCTCGATTGGTCTCACGCACTCAAGTGATGCTATTTCGCAGGTCAGAGTTCACCAAGCTTGAACTTTGCACCGCAGCAACCTGCGAAACTTAACGCATGACCCTGCGTTTCCGGTCTGACGCATTCGCAATGAGTGGAAGTCTATTGGAGGAAAAGCCCAGTGTGACCGCAGCTTTAGACTGTTGATATATTTCTGATCTGTAATTGCGTTGACGGTGTTTTCTATTGCACATTTGCTTTGTATGTTTTTGTGTTTAACCAGAAATTGAAAGGATCATTTTTGGTACTGATAGTTCACCTAAATATTAAATTTGCTGTTAATTTACTCAACCTCAGTCCTCCAAAGATGCAGTAATGGTAATTCATAAAATCCAATCCTAAACAAACGTCAGCAACTACTGACACATTGTGAGTTTAAAAAATGCATATACAGACAAAACTAATTACTTAATTACTATTATTTAAGACAAATTAATACCTGTGGCTCTTGGTTGTCTGCTAAAGTGAAACAACCGGGTTGTGCAAGAAACTGACCATTATTAACATCATCATCATTATAACCTTTAAAGTGATAGTTTATCCAAAAATTTTAATTATTCAATATTTACTCATCCTTAAGAGTTTCTTTCTTCTGCTGAACACTAAAGAAATTATTTTAAAGAAAACTGAAAACCTGTAGCCAATGACCTATATTGTTTAAAAAACAAACACTATAGAAAGTCAATGGTTACAGGTTTTCAACATTTTTCAAAATACTTTTGTGTTCAACAGCTGAAAGAAACTCAAAGGTTTGAAACGAGTAATGGATGACCGAATGTTGATTTCTGGGTAAACTATCCAGATCTTTTCAAGCTTTTTGAAAGTACATGAATTTCAGACATAAGGATTCAAGGCCTGGAAAGTACACAAAAGCACACATAGGTCCATAAAACTGCTTGAATTCAATGGGAAATACAATTTGTTTATGGTTTTATTTCAAGATTTGTACTCAATCGTTAAAAACCGAACAAAAAACCTGGAAATTCTTAAATGAAAAATCTTATATTTAAATCTTGCACAATAACACTGACAAATAATGCAGAGTTGTCTGCATTTGAATATTACCAGTATTGAATTCAACAAATTTTCACATGTAAAATAACAAGTTATTTTACCATGACTGTTTAAAATGGTCAGTTTTTGAAAATTACTTTGACTATTAAGTGTAAGTGAAAGGTTATGTACAGTAAGGACTTTCATGGTGCTACGTATTCTGTGGTAAGAATTAGAAAGGTGTTTGATTTAAAATGAATGGGGCTTTAAAGAGTCATTGAAACTGCTGTTCATGAAAGTGTGGTAATCCTCACTGTCCATTTAATTCGCAATTCCAAATGGTCTAGATTTGGTCAGACATGTAATTAATGAATATAAACATTACCTTAATGATCTACACACACAAAAAGTATTTTAGCCTGAGTGACCACACATTTTCTATTTGAGTCCACTACCCTTTTAAATCTATAGTTGACATTTTGATATATAGTTGACATTTTGATTTAAAGACGTGTGACAGATATGTTCCCTCTGTCCTCATCTCAGTGGATTTGCTGTGACATTCGTTATCTGGATGTGTCCATCCTGGGGAAGTTTGCAGTGGTGATGGCTGACCCGCCGTGGGATATTCACATGGAGCTTCCCTACGGAACACTCACAGATGACGAGATGAGGAAGCTCAACATTCCTATTCTGCAGGACGACGGTTTCCTCTTCCTCTGGGTGACAGGAAGGTAGGGGCTCTCAACACAAAAAAATGCCTGGGAACTCTGTGTAATAGGCAGATCGATTTGCATCACTTGTACACCAAGGATAAATGTGACTAAATAAAACTATAATGAAAATTAAGATTATATCTTAGATGTTGTTTTGATATTTTAGATTGAACCCTTTTGTGCACTTGGGGATGTTTTCATCCACTCAGGAATGATTTTGAGATTTAGTTTGGCTCAACAAGTGGAAAGACTTTTGGTGACTAATCTTATTTTGACACACATTTTGGGCAAATACTGTGAAATATTCAAAAATTTAGAAATACACTCTGGAGAATTTGCTACCATTTTGTAATGTTATTGACTCTTTTGCCCCATTGATTTCCATTATAACTACATTTATTGATTTGCAAAGCCATGACACCATATAAGCATGTATTCTTGATTGTAGTGCCTTTATAGTGATATGTCTGAGAAAGTCAAAATAAGCTCAGCTCTCAGAACATATTAAGTCTATGCACTGCACACACACTATAAATTGCTATTATACTCCATAGAACTCCATATAAAACCCAGAATTTTTTTTGACCAGGACTATCAAAAGGGGTTAATGCTGCCAAATGATGATTGACGGTAACATTTACCAATATTACCTCTTTTCAAACAGGGAAAACCACCTACAATCAAAATTTCATATATGGTGTCAAGGCTTTGCAATCAAAAAATGTGGTTAAAATGGAAATCAATGGGGCAAAAACAGCCACCAACATAATGAAAGGATAGTCAATTTGAATAAAACTGCTTTCAAAAACCTTTACAATTTCAAAATTGTTGCCATATATTTTCCATTATATTTCACTGTTTTCTTTGAGTGAAATTGAGGTTTGAGTAATACAATGCAGCTCAACTTTTGTCTTTGCAGGGCTATGGAGCTAGGCAGAGAGTGTTTAAGCTTATGGGGGTAGGTGATTTATTTTATTTTATTTTTTTTACAAATAAAGTGATTATGGTCTCTTTAAATATAAATAAAGTACATTTATAAATATATAATCACCTTTTTTGTCATTCAATCAGCTATGATCGTGTAGATGAAATTATCTGGGTGAAAACCAACCAGCTCCAGAGAATCATTCGTACTGGAAGGACTGGACATTGGCTGAATCATGGCAAAGAGCATTGCTTGGTATGTGTGAGGATTTGCATATTTGTGGTCCAACAAATTTAGAGGTGCAGTAGGTGATGGTCTTTAGAAACTTTTTTTGTTGTGCTGGTTGACAGTCTCTTTACATTCAAATAGTACTGATTAAAGTAAATGATGTAAATATATTTATATGTATTTTTGTATTGTGGGTAAAGCACAAGACTAAAAGTATTCATCTAATTAAACTTTGTTGGGCCGACAATTCCCATAATTCTGATAAGTAGCTCAATCTGGCAACAAGTGTAGATTTGTACATCTGCGCATCTGTTCACGTAGATCCGCCATTCCCATGTGCATGTGTGTGTTACTTTTGCATGCTGAAGGAAGGATGATACCATGGCTGAAGTATTTCTTTTAGACAGATAATGTTCTGTTTTAAAGGTATTTTAGTTGCGCAAAGCTGAAGTGTAGTGTTGTTCACCCATTGAAATCTCCCAACAAAAGATTGATGCGATACTATAAAGTACTATAAAGTTTTCTAACTGGCGAATGACATGATCTAGTGGATTGTCTACTAAGCCCATTCCTGATTTTAGGAGTTGTGGCTTTGGATGGCAGGGGAGGAACTGTGTTTCAAAGATATTATGCTAACGGATAGCATTTAGGCTAATCAGTACATTTAATATATTGAAAGACGTCTTATGCTCATCAAGGTTGCATTTATTTCAAAATTACAAATGTAGTACTTTGCACAAGAAACATTTACTCCCATGTTTAAAAAATGCTTCTTATTTTTGAGAAAACATTTGTGGAATTGTTGATGAATGTGAGATTCAAAAGCAGAGCATACTTTGAAACTGAGGGCTTTCCATGACATTGTTAAATTTTATACTAGCATTTTTGGATTAACAGAATGGACCCTGAGTGCAACATTTGAAAAGTAGTGTATAAGAATAAAGTCCATTGTCAAATTTTGTAGTATTCAGGCTGACAATTAATTTCTGGAATAATTAGTTTTGGAATTATTTGTGTTATGACAATGACTGAATGAAATATCCATTAAGAATTAGGCCCAAAGTATACTCTGGTTAGATGTGTACTAGGATATTCAATTGAAAGACAATAAACTTTTAGCTGTAAAATATATTAACTTGATAAAATGATAAAATTGAAAGTGTTATCAACAAGTGCAGAAAAGTTCACATTTTTGTGAATTTTCAAGCTCCTGTGTTTGAGCAAGTTATTAAATAGAGTATACTTAAAAAGGCTTGCTTAATAAATTAATTGATAAATTAGGCATACTTTGTTTTTTTTATCCTCTCTGTCTCTCTCTTTATCTCTTTATCTCTGTTTGTTCTATCAGGTTGGAGTGAAAGGAAACCCACAAGGATTTAATCGAGGCCTTGACTGTGATGTTATAGTGGCAGAGGTAACCATTATCACTGAATAAAAGTGATAATGAAGACATTAAAACTCATAATGATCAGGGCAGTAAATGATCCATAACATCTGTTATCTGTTCACACACAAGGTCCGTTCCACTAGCCATAAACCAGATGAGATCTATGGAATGATTGAGCGCCTGTCTCCAGGCACACGAAAGATTGAATTGTTTGGCAGGCCACACAATGTACAACCTAACTGGTGAGTCAGACATTCACTTCATTTACCAATTGTTCATTCAGTCGTATGTTATATTTCTTGTTTTGTGTGTTTCAGGATAACTCTTGGTAATCAGCTGGACGGCATTCACCTTTTAGATCCGGAAGTTGTTGCTCGTTTTAAGAAACGCTACCCTGATGGAGTCATTTCTAAGCCTAAAAACATGTAAGAACTGGGCTAGTGGGAGAACACACTGTTGGTTAAACTCAAGACTTATTGATGCTTTCTAGTTACTTTTGTACTACATTTCTTTTGTAATAAAATCGATGAAACACATTTTAGTTGTTTCTGCTGCATGCAGTCTGATTCATAATTTCATCAGTAAGTCTAGAAAGGCAGCCTTTCTATTAGAACAGTAGCGGTGTCTCATTTCAGAGGCTGCATCCTTCAAAGAATGCATTTGAAGAGTGCTGCGTCATTAAAGACGGTCTCATTTTTAAAAAGTTTGAAGGCTCCTTTAAATGCAGCCTCCAAATGCATCCCTCGTTTCCCAGGTAATAAAGGATACAACTGGTGGATCCTTCACACCCTAAAACATCCCAAGATTCATTGCGAACTGATAATAGCAGGACTTTTTAAAAGAAATCTCTGGATTAAATGTATGAATTAGATTTTATTTTACTTGGATATCTAAACGCATATTAAAGTAGTGATTTGGTTAGCATAATATCTTTCAAATACAATCCCTCTCTTGTTGTGCAAAGCCACCGGAAGACACGCGAACAGGTAGATTAAAGATGACAGATACCAACTAGATTATGTCATTCGCCAGTTAGAAAACTTTATTGTATGATATCTAGCACGTTTTCAGTTGTGTAGCAAGCAAAACTTGTTGTAATGTGCATTAGTTCATGCTTGCAAAGAATTGCTGGTCTAAGTCTCTCACAGGCTTGTCCTAAAGAGACTACTGTATGCTTAGTGGTTGACCGGTGGTGTGCAGGAGTTACACTTATTGCTAAGCCATACTTACATGCTGTTTCAGACTAAATATTCAGAGTAGCATGGTAAACAAGATAGGAAGCGCGTCACAGGCTGTCATTGTTCAAAAAGGAACCAATGTGACTATAAAACCAACTTGAGCTCAATAAAGATAGGCGGAATAGTGTTCTTTGCTTATGTTTACTAATGTTGTTTTGTTAAACTTTTGTTATGAAACTGAAAATAGTCACATCAATCTTTCGCCGGACGAGTTCAGTGGCTGAACAACACTTCCATGCATATAACCCATTTGTAAAACAACAAAATCTACATCAGCTTTGCGTGGTTAAAATAGTTTTAAAACAGAACATTACCTGTCTAAATTACATACTTCAGCCATGTGTCATGCTTCCACCAGCGTGACACCATGGCTGAAGTATGTAATTTAGACAGGTAATGTTCTGTTTTAAAACTATTTTAATCAGAATTACTAATACTTATTACAATTATGGGAATTATCAGCCCAACAATTTTTAATTGGATGAACATTTCTTAGTTTTATGCCTTACCCAGAATATAAAAATACATATGAATACATTTAGTTAATTTACATCAATCATTACTATCGGAATGTGAAGACTTTCAACCGGCACAACAAAAATATTTCTAAAGACCATCACTTACTGCACCTACAGCAAAGAGTATAACATGTCTTGATAAAAAGTTGTTTTATAGACAGTTTACATTTTAATGTGTACATGTTTAGATGTGGTATATTATGGTGGCTACACTATAAAACCTAAAAAGTTATGGTGAACCTATAAAGTTAAGGTGAACCTCAAACCATTTGAGGAAACCGATTCAACAAACCATTTAAGTTCAAAAACTAATCCTAATGAGTACTGTGAACTTAATCCATTTGAGTAAACTAAGCAATTTGAGCACAGTAAAATCCAATAAATGAAGAGAACTCAAACCACCTGAGTACTGCAAAACCTATAAAACTATAAAATTCTACAAAAATTCAAAACTTTAAGTCAACTCAAACCATTTGAGGAAACCGATTGCAACAAACCATTTGAGTAAAAAAAAAACTAATCTATATGAGTACTGTGAAATTACTCAGTTTAATTTGAAGTAATGAGGTATTTAGTTCACTCATTACCTTCAACACTGAGTTCAAAACTCTTTTCAAATGAGTAGAATTAACTTTCTGTAAGTTTTGAGTTAACTACACTCAGTTTCAGTTGATAAACTGAACTGAACTTAAACACTAAAAACTGAACTACACTGTTCCCGTTACCATGACTATTTATGTAAAGCTGCTTTGACACAATCTACATTGTAAAAGTGCTATACAAATAAAGCTGAATTGAATAAAGCTTACTGTTGGGTATTACAGTGTAGGTGATGAGATCTGTCCTCTGTAGGCTAGATAGTCTCATTTCAAAATGCTCAGTTCAGCATGTGCAGACTTCAAAAGACTCATTTTTGAAGTCTGTATCCTTCGTAGGATGCATACTCTAAAATGAAACACAGCTGATATGAATACACGGTTGTTTCTTTTTCAAAAAGATTTATTGTTGTGTGAAAATCAGTTAAATCAAAAGTACATCTGCGATTTTATGTTATGTATTTAGTTCACTGTCATTTTAAATGATTACAAGTAATTTTTTTTTAGAAAATTGCACCTTTTATACAAAACATACAAAAAATATTTTCTCTTTTATAGTAATTATGACTTAAGGTGTAACAGTGTAAGTTTTCTTTTCAGGGTTAGGTTTAACACCTAAACAAACAAACACTTAATACATGTGCAAAGACAAAGACAGTCAAATCCATGACATTAGCATGTAAAAAAAAAAGCAATGAGTGGATCATGACAAAAAAAAAAAAACTTGATTTATGTCACTCAGTTTAAACATGCAATAGAAAGTAGACAAAATAATATTTCAATCATCTTCATATCAGTGGATTTAATTGTGAGATTTAAGTCAGAAAAAATTACTTTAAAAACATAAACACCAATGGTCAAAATTTTGGGGTCAGTGAGATTGTTTTAAAATAAGCTTCTCCTGCTCACCAAGACTGCATTTATTTAATCAAAAATACAGTACAAATTGTAAAATTGTGAACTGTAATTGCACTTTAAAATAACTGTTCAAAAGTAGTTTATCATTTAATTTAATCATTTATTCCAGTGGTTTTAAATATGAATTTTCAGCTTCATTACTCCATTCTTAAGAGTCACATGATCCTTCAGAAATCACTCTAATATTAATTAATCTTATTAATATAAATGTAATGGTAATTGTAATAAAAGCAATGATGACTGGAGTAATCATCTTATTTGAAACTACATACAATAAGAAAGCAGTTATTTAATTTGTTTTAGAAATATTTAACACCCCTTTTGTGTTTAATCTTGATGAACAGAATATATTTCTAAAAAAAAACATTAAAAAAAGAGCCCAATCTATTGACCGGTAATGTATATTCTGAAAACACCTTAAATTAATGCATTCATGAACAGTGATTTTTATTTATTTGAGATTCTATACTCTGAGCTGTGCGCTAGGCATGGGTCGATAACTGTTTTATAGGTATACTGCAGTTTGGAAAAGTCAATGATTTAAAACCGCCAACATTTTCTGCTATAGCGTTCCTAAGGTTTATGATTATAAGATTTTTTTTGTTTAGATTTTAAGGACGACAGTATCCAAGATATCCAAAGAGGCCTTTTTTAATTGTAAAGAATTCTGTTTTTTTAAAACAAATCAAGACAGCAGAAGTCAATGACTTATTTTAATTATTTAGCCTGACATGTTTACTGCTCCAAAATATGACAAATGTTTCCCAAAATCAAATATATTGTGTTCAACTGGGAAAAATTGTGTTATTTTTATCCAAAGTTATCATACCGTCAGAATCATACACTGGCCAATGCCTACTTTGCACACTGTTAATGGGTCTCAATATACTGTATAATTTGTTGGGTCAAGAAAATGGCACTCACTTAAAAAGTTAACAAAAAGGCTATAGTAAACCTGCTTTCTGTGTCATATAAAACATCAGCATTGATTTTTTACAAGTGTATTAATGGGTAAACCACTGAACAAATGCATATCTGACTCAAAACTGGCATAATTGTCAGTGTGTGGTCAGAAAAGCTACCAGAAGCGTCCTCCTCACATAGATGCTCATATAGCAAACCGAGTAGAACAGATGCTGCAGGCTAGACAAAAAGCACTTGCTGGTGATCATGTAAACATCTCTCAATTCTCTCAACATCAAGAGTGTTTAGCAAATTCCTCTTTCACCAAAGAGCACTCAGCTGTACCATTGTGTTAGAGAAATTCAAACACTCGTTGTGGCAGTACATACAGCTGGCCCTCACACGAGTGTCCATCCAAGGAGAGGCACGCTTTCCTTGTGCTTGGCTCATGATCTTCCATTTTCCCCTCAAATGCTCTCCAGAAAGAGATTGAAGCTGGATGGCAGCTGTATGTCGGAAGTCTATTTTTAAGGATTCTCCAGAAACCGCTTGCAGGGCAATGTTAGTATGTGGCGTCCACTGCATTGATGTTACTGTCCATCTGGTGCCGCAGTGAGAGCCGGGCTTTGTGGGAGAAGTAGGCCTGTGGGCAGCTGATGCCGCTGCTGCTGTCCCCTTCACTGCCCCAGGACGTGGTGGAGCACAGACGGGGCTTCAACTCTTCACTCACTACAGCTGAACACATGGATAGGAAAGAGTAATAGGTAATTAGTTTATATAAAAATGAAGAATATTATATATATATATATATATATATATATATATATATATCGAATCTGATTGACTGATATTCTGCAATACCAGCACTCAAACAGCCTCCTCACTCTTTACTGTATTACTCCACCCCTCAGAGTGACTGCAGACCTTACTACATTTTGACAAATATTGCGGCTGTTGGACAACATAATGTACTTTTAAGCTTTTTTTAGGCAAGAATGTAGTTGTTTAGATTGCATCTATACAGTACATTTTTAAGGACAGTGCCTATTTTAAATATTTATATTTTCTGAGATGCAAGGCATCAGCATCCATCAGCCTGTCATACTGAGCAGAGCAAAGATGGTTGACATTGTCCATCCACAAGATGCCAAGAGAGGCTGCATAATATGCCCTTAGGAGGAAAAACCCAAAGTTATTTCTAACTACAGCTGATCAAATCATTCTACAACTAGTAAGTGACATTCCAAGTCAATTTCTCTCTTTTGTATGTTGTAGTGCTGTATTTATACCATATAATTATAGTGTATTGTAAGTGTATAAGTGTCCGTTTGGCTTTTTCGGGGTTAATTATTGTGATCTCTCGATTTGAACAGAGAAATACTGGGCAATCTCTTTAGACTGATGGTATTTCATGCCGTTCAGCCTTATAATATTAAAATGTGAGCAAAATCACCTGTAGATATACGCTAGAGAATCATTCAAATACTAGCTCTAAAATGACGTGTCAATTAGTAACAGTTTCTGCTGTTCTGACGTCAGCTGCATGTGTGAATGAATGGCGGAAGAAAGTAGTTCCTCATACAAAAGGGTTTTTAGACTCTCCATGTTTGATTTTCTTTTTTATATTCACGATTATGCCGTCAAACTGTTTTATAAACGCAATATCACAGGAGTAGCAATGCGATATGGCTGTATATCGTCACTGTTGGAACACTAAGGCACGCCTCCTACCCTGATATACAGCCATATTGTACTTCAAATAATGTGATATTGCTCATATATATATATATATATATATATATATATATATATATATATATATATATATATATATATTTTTTTTTTTTTTTTTTTTTTTATGGGTTTATTGAACTTTTGTTTATATTTTTGTAGAAAATTAGAGTTTACAAAAATCACTTAAAGAAAGTTCAAGCAGACATTTTGTAACAGTTTGTCTTAATTGTCACATGAATCATTTTACAACAGCCTTTTTGACTAAAATTATTAATTTCATTTTATAATAGCATCATTGTTGAGCTTAAAAACACCAAAAATATTTACAAATGAAATATATAATGAAACAAAAAATGTAATATAACATATACAATGTAAATGGAAATATTTACACCCTTTTATTTTACTTCAAATAAAATTATTTATTAATTTATTATTTTCAAACAGGAAAAGATTAAAAGATAATCGGGTCTGACTGTGCGTGAATGCTGTTTTTCAGCTGTTATCTTAGTGGCTACAGCAATAGTTGACCATCAAATGACGAGCATGAGGCTTCTTAAAAAGACTCAGTGTTGGAATTGTTTTTAGATGCTGTGTAAATTACTATCTAAAACAGATAGCAAAACCACAAAACAGGTCACTGTTTTAACAGCTTGAATTTTCATGTCAATCATAAATTGGCCAGGTTCTGGTTTGTAGATTTATCCAAACACCTTTCTATTATATAGTTTGATAACATAATAGTATAGGTAACATAAAACATGTCTCACCAGTCTCAGGAGGGCACTGTCTTTTGCACCTCTCCTTGCAGCGTCTGTAGAAGGGAAAGCACTGGAGCATTTTTACACCCATATCAGCAGAGGGCGCTAGAAGACAAGAGAAACACCTGTTAGATGAGCAGACTGGACCTGTTTGATACAATCTGTCGTCTGGAAGGAAGTATCGATTTTTCGCTTCTGGTGCTGGTCATAAAGGTAAAGGAGCAGAGCTGTTTATTAAACTTAATAGTTCTTCCTAAATGTCCAAACAACACTGAGTTTCGTGGTGTACTGTATAATGTCAGGTGTGTGTGGTCTTCTTGGCATTCATCATGTTGTGAGAACCAAATGCACATGTGGGTATATTTTTGGTGCCCGTGAGGGAATTCTCAAAATTTAAAACGGAACTAAGATATTTTGGAAAATGTGAAACTGCAGAATCTCTCCTGTGAGATTTTTATGGGTTGAGTTGGAGCATACAGCCTGTAATATACATGTATGTATTGTAATATATATGTATCTCATTATAAAATATGAGAACCCATGTATGCATGCATGTATGTATGTATGTATGTATGCATGTATGTGTGTTTGTTTATGCAGACCTCTGCTCCGCTGTCTAATCCCATACAGCGACGTCAGTGGAGAGACTGAACGGAGTCATCCGATCTAATAAATCCTTGATTGGCTTTTACACACCAGGTCAAGTTCCATGATGTAGAGGGCCAGTTTTGCCATGCTGGCTGTATTTGCCAGTGCACCTGGCTACTAAATCACCTTTGACAGTGGCTGCTAAGCGTATTAATCATAATTCACTTATAAACTTGTGTTCTAGGAGATCCATGCCCTGCAGCTGTTAAATATGATGTGCTCACTAAGTGCAGAAATTTAGCTACAAGACTAAAAGGGAGAAGAAAACAATGTAGTTTCTTAGGAATTGTGTATGCGTGTGTATCTGAGTGGCCAATGTTTCTCTTATCAGTTTTTCCCAGGTTTTGCTGGCCTTTGGTTTGTAGTATGCAGGGTTAATGATTAATTCTTAATGACTTGGCTTTTACACTGCTCATCCAGACTGCCCCAGAAACTAAAGTGATATTTATTGCATGTATATTCTTGGTTGCCAGTTTGCACATTAATAAAAAAAACATGGAAAAAGAGATGTGGGAAAGCAAGCTTGCGTAATAGCTCATGAGATCACTGTCAGACTTACAATGCAAGGCGTAATGTTAAAAACAAAAAAATTGGGACATGCTGTGGGGATGGCTCTTACATGTCTCGCATAGAAACACACACATATTGTTTTCCAGCAGAACTCGAACCACAGAACCATGTCACCACATGCCACAGATATGTAGAAGTTTACTTTCATAGATAAAACTTGTTCCACACCCATTTCTCCAGATCATTTCTGTGGTGAATCAAAAATCAGAGGAATTTGGTCATATTTTTCTTAGCTTGCTTAACTTGACTGTGCATGTGAAGACAGATCATGCAAAATTTGTATTATTATTAAAAAATAAAAAACAACAACATTGCTGATGTTTGAGAAGGGTGACATGTTGGCGCAGTCGATAGCACAATCGCCTCACTGCAAGAAGGTCGCTGATTTAAGCCTCGGCTGGGTCAGCTGGCATTTCTGTGTGGAGTTTGCATGTTCTCCCCATGTTCACGTGGATTTCCTTCGGGTGCTCCGGTTTCCCCCACAAGTCCAAAGACATGTGCTATAGGTGAATTAAATATATGCTAAATTGGCTGTAGTGTATGTGTGTTAATGAGTGTGTATGGGTGTTTCCCAGTGATGGGTTGCAGCTGGTAGGGCATTCACTGTGTAAAACATATGCTGGATAAGTTGGCGGTTCATTCCGCTGTGGCGACCCCAGATTAATAAAGGGACTAAGCCGAAAAGAAAATGAATGAATGAATGTTTGAGAAGATGATGAAATATGATCTGTAAATAAATGGCGCTGAGCTAAACTTTTGAGAATTGTGTAAGAGTCAGAACAGCTCATTATTTCACATACAGCACATATATGTGTGCTTTTCTGTTTTAAATGTTCATGAAAACAAATGCTGTGTACTGTGAAAAAAACTAGACTAGAGATTTTTCAAGACACTTCTATACAGCTTAAAGTGACAGTTAAATGCTTAATTAGGTTAATTAGGTTAACTAGGCAGGTTGGGGTAATTAAGTAAGTTATTGTATAATGATGGTTTGTTCTGTAGACTATCAAAAAATATATAGTTTAAAGGGGCTAATAATTTTTACCTTAATTTGGTTTTTAAAAAAATAAAAATATAATAAATATAAATTTATATAAATATTATCAGACATACTGTGAAAACTTTCTTGCTCTGTTGAACATCATTTCAAAAATATTTTTAAAAGAAAAAAATTTTTTAAAGGGGGTTTAATAATTCGGATTTCAAAAGTAGTACCATTTTAAAATTTCCTTCAGGCAATCCATCTCATGATCACTTTATGATAGTAATTGTGAATTAAACATCACTACTTTTTATATACACTTATTTTTTTACAAAATACTTTAGATCAGTGTATGAATTATACATTGAAGATTGGGGGGTCAACTTTTTAAGTAGTAGTTTGGTAATATATGCTTCAGTGAATCAAATTTATGAATGTATTTAAATTCTAATTTTCAATAAAAGGTATACATTTTCAATGTTTTAAAGAATACTTAGTAACTATTGACTATTTTAGAGGTTACTGTAGGTTAAATTATGTGTCTCATTTTTTTCAGGCTACATGCCGATATAAACACCTATTTTACAAGAAATATGTTTTGTGAATACGTGCTCTAGACCTGCCAGTTTCAGACTGTTAAATGATATTTTTCCTAACATTGATTGGCACGGTTGAATGCATCACAGTGGCATGAACCGTTATGTGGGGGGATGGGAGAGGGTTAATTGTATATTTATATTATACAATTTTAATTATTACTATTTAAGAAAGCTAATAATGAAGTAAGCTATTTCTTCAAGGGCTGACCCCACATACATATTGTTTTGATGTCCTTCAGGGGGGATCATGCATTAATTAGGGGGTCAATCCCACCCCAAACCTCCCTGTAATTCGCACCCTGCATTACATGCCAATTTGCACATACATTAGGGACTGAGCATCTACAGTGCGTAGGCCCATTTCTACATTTATTTTTATTATTATTCTCTAGAATTAATCACATTTTTGAGGGTCTAAACATACTCGAAAACTCACAAAGCTTTGCATACGCGCTCAAAGTGGAAAATAATTTTTTTTATAGCTTTCGGAAGTGGGTGTGGCAAAATAGCTCCACAACACCACCTATGCATTTTGACAGAGTGACCCCCGAGCTACGTTTCACATGTATTAAGTTGTATATAGTAATATACCTGTTCATATGTTCAATACTTCTATTTTTAAAATATGTTTACTATCTGTTCTGTCTTGTTTCTGTAACTTGCACTGTAGAAGCCCTGTCCTGAAAACAAACTCTTCATATGTCTGAACATACCTGACAATAAAGCTCTGATTCTGATTTTAGTACCGTAGATAAAATCATTTCTACTGCAGATGGTTTCCATCATTCATTACATCAGACCACAAGACCCTTCAAGCTTTTGTGGGGAACATTCTGTGCAAAACATTTTTTACTGAAATGTTTTTCTTATTAGCTTTCCCTTGGTTCTAGTAAATGCACACACCCATGTGAGCTTTCCATCATTTATTGTGCCAGTCATATGCTGTACATTTTCTGTATCGTCTCTCTCTCTCTTTCTCTTTCTCTTTTCAGTCATATTCATAACTCAATCAATATGGAAGAGGAATTTTAGGTTTTGTTCTGATTGCTTTGTTTTTCAGTTTTTGGTGAAACAAGTCCTAGAAAAAAAAGTGGGTGAGGAGGTATAGGAGTGGAGAAAATTCAGCCTTTCCTCTTGGTTTTTATTTTTGAAAGTATCCTTGCCTTCATTTTGAGAAGTTATGTAAGAGGTGTACAATTTGAAGTTGTTTGCTATAATGACGCGAACATACGCTTCTTCATGCACCACAAAACAAGCTCTTGTAGCCACAAACACATAAACAAATCCATATAGGGTGTTTAACCTAGACTCGTGACCTAGCATGATGGCTTGCTCCTCATCATTTACTAAACATGGTGAGCTCTGTGTTTGTGAATCTGTATGTCTGTGTTTTGTCTCTTATAAGTGAAGGACACTCTGGAGGATTGCTGCTTAGTGGAGTAATCTATAGTTACGACACTTCCCTTTACCTCCTACATCTTAGCCTCTTTTCTCAGAATAAGACTATGCATGTATTCACTTCCACACCCTCTAAAATAAACTAAGGCTGTCAGATTCATTTCTAGTGAATTGAAATGCAATGCATTTTTAAATTGCGAAGTATTCTTGGAATTGCATTGAATTCCAGAGGTTTGAATGCCTTTCCTCTCATTTCAACCACACTGTCTTTCTTTCAGAAAGCTTGTGCGTGCTTTAAAGTCATCATGAAACTTCTTCCTCATGCAATGACAATTCTTTTCTCATGACATTTGTACTTGGACAAAATGGAATTTACACCTGTATACTGTAAAACCCAACAGTCAACTTTATCAAGTGAAATGAGTGTAGTAATTATAATTATAATTAATCTCTTATTTGAAAAGAGTTTTGAACTCAAGTATTGAAGGTAATGAGTTAATTAAATACCTCATTACTCCAATTTAAATGGAGTAAGTTCACAGTACTCATATAGAATGTTTTTGAACTCAAATAGTTTGTAGCAATCTGTTTTCTCAAGCGGTTTGAGTTGATAACATATTGGGTTTTACAGTACTCGGTTGGTTTGAGTTCTCTTGGGTTTTACTGTGCTCAAATTGCTTCGTTTACTCAAATGGATTAGGTTCACAGCACTCATTAGAATTAGTTAGATTTTGAACTTAAATGGTTTGTTGCAATCAGTTTCCTCAAATGGTTCAAGTTACCTTAACTTTTTGGGTTTACACTGTAACAAATGACAACAATCCTATGGACAACAAAACCTGCAGAAACAATAAAAAAAATTGCAAATATATAAATAAATGCATATATTTCTGCATAAACAAAACAAT